TATAAACACCAGCACATATCAGTCTCTGGTGTTTATAGCTTCAGAGCAAACAAAACACATCATTCATAACAGAAACAGCTCGCAATAGCCACAGGAACGTTGCTGCAAGACAGGCATATGTAACGACGACTTAGCGCTCTTAAACGCGTGTGTCATTAAATACAGTCCTCCTGACAACAGGCCAGTGAAAAATCTAACAATCTACAGCAAAACCATCAATTATTATGGGCGTTATAACATACGTGTGCAGCTGGATGAAACATACACGTCGAACCCCCTCAGACGATTTAAATACCTGACGAAACATACACGTCAAACCATGCTGAACGGTTAAGGAGGAACTAGGTAAACAGAAAAAAGCAATGAAGAATACTGAAATAAGCAAGAATGGAGTAAATATACAGGATCCAAAAGCTTTAGCCAATGTCTTTAATGAATACTATACCAGTATTGATCAAAAGATATTGAGTGGCAATCCATTATCAAAAACCAATTAAGTTAATGTCAATACAGTAAAATATAACAGTAACGGCATGTTCTTAACCCCAACTACTGAAGATGAAGTGGCAGGCATAATTAAAGGATAGAGTAATAAAAAACCAATGGGATTAGATGATATTCCAGAGTATATTATTAAAAAAAGTTATCCTAAAATAATAACTGCTTTGACATATATAATAAATCTGTCACTCTCAACTGGGCATTTTCCTGATCAACTAAAAATTACAAAAGTGAAACCTTTGTATAAGAAAGGATGTGATACAGAAGTTGGGAATTACAGACCAGTTTCACTAGTTTCTGGTTTTAAAAAATAACTGAAAAAATAATACATAAAAGACTTTTATCATTTTTTAATAATAACAGCATAATTAACAACACACAGCATGGTTTCTGTAAAGGGAAATCAACAAATACTGCAACTGCAGAGTTTATAGAAAGGGTCTACAAATCATTGGATGAGAGGGAAATAAGTACAGGGATATTTCTGGATTTGTCAAAGGCATTTGACTTAGTTGATCATGATATATTGCTAAGGAAGATGACAAAAATGGAAATAAGAAGGGTTGCACTAAAATGGTTTCAATCATATCTAGAAAACAGGGAACAAAAAGTGGAAATTACATACAGATGTAAAGAAACTAATGACATCACTAGCTGTCTATCGCGAAAGAGACCCATAAGACACGGAGTCCCAGAAGGTTCTGCTCTCGGACCAGTGTTGCTTTTGCTACATATCAATGATCTAGGAGCTGGCACTGAACATGGAAGACCAACGTTTTTTGCTAATGATACTAGTATCCTTATAGCAGGAAATAGTTCTAATGATGTCCAAATGAAAATAAATAAAACAATAAATGCACTCACAGAGTGGTTTGAAAGGAATAGATTAATTATTAATAAAGAAAAAACAATAGCAATATCCTTTCATCAACCTCAAAAAGTGCAAGTTGAATGCCCATCAGTAAAGCTCTATGATACAGTCACCAATTATATAGAATATACAAAATTTTTGGGAGTTTGGCTGGATAAGAATCTAAGGTGGTCTGCACATACTCAACAACTAGCAAATAAATTATATAAAATATGTTTTGCCTTATGAGTAGTCAAAAAGAGTATCAGGGTTAGAGACTGATCGCACCTTATATTATGCTTATTTTTAATCCTTGTTATTATATGGATTGATATTTTGGGGCAATTCAGGAAATGCAAAATTATTCTTTAGGTTGCGGAAGATTGCTATTAGAGCTACGATGCAAATCCCGTAAACTATCAGTTGTAAACAGTATTTTAAATCGTTACATATATTACCTTTGCCTTGTCTGTATACTAGTTTATATAAAAACCAATTTGAATGTTTTCATAACCAATTCAGGAATACACTCACACAATAAAAGGAGAAAAGATGACTTGTTCATAGTGCCATGTAATACGAGTCTATACAAAAACAATTTCAATAATATTGGACTTTGTATGTTAAATCAGTTGCCACAATATATTAAAGATATACCAGTATTATACAAGTTTAAAAAGGCTTTGAAAACATTCCTACTTGATTATTGTTTCTAAAGTACAGATGAGTTTCTCTTGTTTGGGGACAAATCCTAGTTCTAATCACTTGTAAACATATATTTCAAGAATAATTAACTTGTAGATTTTAATATTAGTACATGTTATAGGAATGCCTACTGCCCTGTTCTGTATTTTTTTCTTACAGGAACGAGATCAAGGATACCAGGGTATTTTGTGCCAGGATAGAAGGATCGGGTCTTGAGGCATACAGCGGTGTCGAGTGTTAAATGAGTATATCAGTTCTATTAATAGAATCATCACTTTATTATTATCTTAGTATATTACTATATTATGTATTATATTATTATTTCATTATTATTCTTATTATTATTTACTGTATTGTAAAGTATTTGACTTGTCCTATATCATGTATAATGATTGATGGATATGAAATAAATAAAAAAATAAAATATAACAGATGAACCAAAAGCATTATAAACTAAATTTTACAGCTCTTATTGCAGCCTTCAGTGACCTTTCTGATATCTCATAAATGTATCTCAATAATTAATATACCTTTCCACATCCTGGTGGTCCCCAGAGAATCATGCTGGGTATATCCCTCTTCTCTAATAGAGTTCGCAAGACCTTGTGCAAACCAAGAACATGTTCTTGTCCAAAGTAATTTGTCAGATCAGTCGGACGCATCTGTTCTGCCAAAGGCACGGGACTTGTGAAGGTCTGGCGGAAACTTGAAGAACTTGGAACTTCTATTTCCTGTATAAAATTCTGTATTATCATACTTCTTTAATATACTGGTTTGAAGAGACGGCAATTTGCCCGTAAATTAAATGTACCCTTCCCCACAATGCCCATAAATGACCACTTTTTCATGGAGAAAGTGCCATCGGATTAAGAAAAAAATCCATATCTTTAACATTAAACCATATTTTTTCAGCAATGAAGAATAAAATCACTTTTTTATGATAACAATAAATACTGAATTTGGTTCAAAACCACTTGATTTGAGGTGTCAAGTACTACAGTCTGTGATAACTGAATGATCCTGGCATGACTGATTTAATATAAAATAATGAATGTTATGAAAGAATTAGAAATATGGTTTCAAAAAATAACCTTGTAATAAATACTAAAAAGACATCTGCCATGTCATTTCATTCAAAACAGCTGAGAGATCCGTTAAGACCACAAATAGTTTTTAATAATACAGAAATAGTATATCAGTCAGAATAGAGATTTCTTGGAATTCACATGACAGAAACCTTAAAATGGTGCGCTCATGCTCAATTTCTAAAAGCAAAGCTATGCAAAGTAATTTATATGGTGAAAATATTAAAAGAAATAATGAGTCCATATATGATAAAAATTATTTATTTTTCAAATTTTGAATCATGTATGAGAAATGGTATCTTATTGTGGGGTAGGGATGGGGAAAGTAAAAGCATTTTTAAATTGCAAAAGCGGGTTCTTCGAGTGATTGGTGGTATTAGTAGTCGCACGTCATGTAGACAAATTTTTAAAGATTACAATGTTTTAACATTGCCTTCTCTGTATATATTGGATACAACATGCTTTATCAAAAAATACTAGGCTTTTAGGGCAATAAATTCAGACATTCATAATTATAACACATGAAAAAAAAAATAAATTTTCATGTACAGCACTGTAATATAGCTCTTTCTAAGAGGAGTGTGATAAATATGGGAATTAGTTTGTATAATAAGGTCCCCAATCCAATAAAACAAAGGAAAAATTTTAACTCATTTAAAGAGGAATTAAAATCTTTTTTGCTGAAACATTCCTTTTATTCTGTAGATGAATTTATGTCTTTTGATTCATCAAGTGTGTAAATGTAATATGTAGCTGATTAATTTGTTGCATTTTGTGTAAAGACAATGAAATTAATGGTAATTAGATCTAGATAATATTATTCAGATGACAAACCCCTTATATTAGGGTGGTACAGTGTATTCTGCAAAGATACACACGAGAATCTGACAATTTCCCTATCCAAATGGTTGTAATACCTGTATGTATGGATTGTTGAATGATAATAAAAATGAAAAAAGAAATAATACGTAAAATTTGTAATATTCGTTGTCATTTGACGCTCGCAACGTGCTGAAAATTTGTAACTGTGCACATGCAAATGAAAGTACACAACACACATTCCAAACATAGCATCCCGCATGGTGTAATTTTTAATGATGCATGTCGAGTAATATATGAAATTATTATGCAATTCATATTCTATTTCTCTAAATGCTCAGTGGAAGTAACAGGTTATTCAATACGTACGTCATGACTCTGACCAACATGGTTCTGCTCAATGTAACCTTCCCTCTTCTGTCTTTTCTCTGCTTGATTCGTCTCTTTATGATCATGATCCTCCCTTCTCTTTGTAGATGCCCCGTCATTCTCCCCAGAATTGAGAAATATACATTTGTTTGCATGGCTTTCTATTTCTGTAACAGGATACTTTCTGTAACAGACAGGACAATTCACAACTTCCACACTTGACGACATTACTTTGCCTCCAGAATTTGTACGGTGGTCGCTTTCGCTCGTTATTAGTCCTATTAAGGACTGTCTAAGTCAGGTCCGTGTTTAACTTGACCAAACGTGCTAGCATAGGTTAATGTCATATTAAGCGTGAATCTTACAAGAGTACTTTGCATAATTTAATGTTTTAAATAACATCTGCCAATGCATTAAAACGTGGAATGTCCAGTGGCAAAATAATTCATGTACTGAGCCTAAGTTCTTCACCATCGTTCAATATAGACAACACTCGAAGAATTCGCAGTACCGTTACATTCCAGCCAACCCAGCCAATGACCTATTCGACGTATTCGGATTATTATTAAGTTAGGAAGTGAGAAACGTGAGAAAGGTGTGTGCCCTATAGCTGCGTGAAAACTGTAGGTGAAGTGTGCATCAATTTAGCTTTCGTATAATGGAATCGGAAAAGCGTAATAAGAAGATACAGAGTACCATGAAATCCTCGAGGAAATATGCGAAAGGGAAATCTAACTTCATATTTGAAAACAAATCGTGTGTGGAAGACGTAGGCCGATATCTTGAGAAAGGGGCGGAGTGTTTGAAGTCAAAATCAGATACACATGCAGACGAATCACCAGCGTTACAACGGGATGAGGTTAAAAGCCAGTTTGTATACTACAATATATTTAAGTTTGTGGTTGCTTATAATAGTAAGTTATTTTAAAATTTAGCGTTCCTGTCGTACTGTGTATGGCCAGGTAGAATGTTTTGGTGGATAACCGCAAAGTTTTGCCGTTATGTATATATTACTTTTAAAATCGAACATGATGATAGTGATTAATTGCACCGAAATATCAGCATTGAATTTTTTTTAATAGTGAGAAGGAGCCGCTATAGCGCAGTCGGCTGGACGACCGAGAGGTCGGAGCTCGAATCGCAGTAGGGTCAAAAATTTTCACTTCTCCATGTCGTCCAGACTGGCTCCGGGGTCCACCCAACCTATGCAATGGGTACCGGTGGTAAAGCGGCCGGGGCGTGAAGCTGACCACTCACCTCCAACAGTTGCCAAGGTTAAGAAAATGTGGATCTATACATCCACTCCTCCATATGTCTTCATGGTATAGAGCTAAACTAGTTAAGCACAGGGACAGCTTTACCTTACCTTACTGAGTGAGCAGTGAATTCATCAAATTTGCTCTGTTCCAAGTATAGCTAACCAGCTGTCTCATACTTCTGATGTCGAGACCAATAGCGCATTGCTGACAGCATTATTAAATGAACTATTGAAACAGATCATATTACTATTTAAGAAAGAAATTAGATTAGAATATATACTAGCCCAAAATCGTTACATAAGAGCAGTCAAATCAATTTACCTAGACTGTAAAAGGTAACAGATATGCAATCCTACTACACACCCAATATTGCTTAATCACTATGCAAAGAAGTTCTTTATGAATAGTCATTAAAATTTCCTTGCAGATGTTTTTCAACTCTACTTTTGTATGTAGTTTGTTTTATACAATTTGTCCAATAAATATAAAATTAAAGTCGCATGGGGTAATAGTAGGTAAATGTGCTGCACTAACCTAGTCTCTTTTTTTTTTCTTTTCTTTTCAGCAAGCACATGCCACTTTTAGCAGTTTTATTGTCCAGAAGTTACCCAGGAAACCTGTCCTTATTACTAGCTTTATGTGCTTCAAATTCTGACTGAAAATTTATGCCACCATTTTGTCTGACACTTTCTAGCAGAGTTATACATCAAATGTATAAACTGAAGGTGTTTGACAGTAATGCAAAACATATCTACTCACAGTGACATTTGTCATTCAAAGAATATGATTTAATTTAATTAGTGCGTCCTTTTTTTTCAGGGAGATGGAGAGTCTGTTCCTGAAATGGCCGTGGAAGATACATATCCTGCTAGCAGTAATATGACCTGCGTTTCCACAGTGCAAAGATTTCATGTCAATATAGAACTGGATATAATGGCTGTAATGCTTTTTCTGGCAGGACTTGCAACACGCATGTATCGATTAGAAGAACCTCGCAGCATAGTGTAAGCTATTTGTGGGAGGGGGGTTATTGTTTAATATTAACCCTTATACATGAATTTAAATACCTTGCACTTGCATTCACCTTCTTTATATTGCAATTTAAGTGCCATGTCATAAAAGAAATTGCTGTATTTAATATGTTTTTGAAGTTAGAGACTCAAAATAAAAATTGTATTGGAAGCATTATGTTTTGTCATAATAGAATTGTGGGGAGTTCCATCAACACAACACACATATAATAATATGTGATTATATATTTATTTAGCTACATGTTTTGGCTGTAGAGGCCATCTTCAGTCGTGTAGTACATTCATTCAGCTTTGTTTGAGTTTGTATGTAGGTTAATGTTTACATAGTGGTATTTGTCAAATTGTTTTTCCTGGATTAAATTAGTGTCATGTGGTAAAATGGAGTACAAGTTAGGTGTGGTATTTGTAATAGGAATGTAAGTGCTGAAAGTAGCGGCCTCCATAGTCTAGGGGTAACGTTCCCACCTCGTGACTCAAGGTACGCGGGTTCAAACCCGGTGGAGGTTGTGGAATTTTTAAGGGCGGAAAAATTCAGGGAACAAGTCCTCCAGGGGGGACTTTAATGCGTGGGTCCCGTGTCATAGCTTTACGGCATGTAAAAGAACCTCATGTCCCAAGGGGACCTCTGAGCGAAATTCAGGACATTTCCCGCCCAACAGTAGTCTCTAACACCTCTGGTAGATGGGGGAAGCATCGAGATACCGCTGAGCCAGTAGAGGCCGAACTCGCTCTCTGAGTCGGGACTGATGGCATGAACCAGTACCGGTAGGGAATAGAGACTGGTAGAATATCAAAGGGGGATGCACAATGGACCAATATCTGGTCTAAGTGCATGGGGAAACCCACCATCTCCAATAACAACAACAACAACAACAACAACAAGTGATAAAGGTAAAATATAGGAAAGGTAAGTATTGGGCATATAATAGTTATATAGATTGTAAAACATAAAGTTTACAGTGGTTAAAATCATGAGATGTTAAATGCTGTGTTGTTGGCCATAAATTAATAGTATTGGATTAGATATTGGTATTGTGGGAACTGCCCACATTCAAGCAAGTGTGACAACGCAAGCTTCATTGTTTAACAACGACGAAACCCCAACCGCGGTTCCGCATGCCATACCACCACAGCCTGTACAACGAACTGCACGCTCCGGATGTCATGTACATTTTTCTGATCGCTTCAACAGCTGAGCAACCATTTCTGCGGAGGGGCGGGGGTGATGTGGGAACTGCCCACATTCAAGCAAGTGTGACAATGCAAGCTTCACTGCTTAGCAACGACGAGTAAACAGCGGTTGCTAGGCAAAGCCCACAACAATACGGACAGTGACTGGTACACTTTGAACCGTAGAGGAGCTGGGATGTACGGTCGAGGTTTCCCGGCAGAGGTATCACAGTAGATGGACACCATGGTACCGGGGATTAGTAGCTTTTCAAGCCGCAAAGCGGTGTTTGACTGCCGAAGTGATTGGAGCTCATCGTCGCTGTCCAGCGATGCGGCCAATGTGTCGTAGGATGGTGGCACAGTGACGGACTCGACGCGGGAGAGCGCGTTGGCAACAACGTTGTCCTGTCCCGAGATGTGTCGGATGTCGGTCGTGAATTGTGCTATGAAATCCAGGTGGTGAGAATTGCCTTTGTGAGCATTTGTCCCTTTTCTGCTGGAAAGCGTAGGTGATAGGTTTGTGGTCTGTGAAGATGCTGAAGTGGCACGCTTCCAGCATGTGGCAAAAGTGCTTTATGGCCTCATAGATGACCAGCAGTTTGCAGTCATACGCACTGTAATTTTGCTGGGCCGGGTTGAGTTTCCTTGAGAAGAATGCCAGGCGTTCTTGACGCGTTGCTGTAGCATGGCACCCATGGCGGACGTGGAGGCATCTGTGATGAGTGCAAGTGGCGCGGATGGATCGGGGTGAGCCAGTAGTGTGGCGCGTGACAAACTTGCCTTGAACTCTTCGAAGGCCCTGTGGAGCTCCGGTGTCCAAATGATGGGGTGGGAGCCCTTGACTTTGGGTCCGGAGAGGACGTCTTGCAGTGGTGCCTGGTGTGCTGCCATGTGGGGCAGAAATTGCCTGTAATAGTTCAGCATGCCCAGGAAACGGCGGAGCTGACTGGCAGTTTCGGGGGGTTGACATTCCTGGAGGTGAGTCACTCGTTCTTCCAGCGGTTGGGAGCCTTCGGCGGACACCTTATAACCTAGGAAGGTGATCTCAGGTACTCGGAAGACGCACATCACCGGGTTGATGAGGATCCCATACTTCTGCAGTCGGTCAAAGAGTGCCCGTAAGTGTTGCTCATGTTCCTCTAGAGACCGGGAGAAAATGAGGATATCATCCAGGTAAGCGAAACAGAAGTCTAGTCCCCGCAGAATGTCGTCCATGAAGCGTTGGAAGGTCTGTGCGGCGTTGCGCAGGCCGAAGGACCTGTTGGGGAACTCGAATAGGCCGAATGGAGTGGTGATGGCCGTCTACTGTATATCGTCGGGATGGACGGGAATTTGGTTGTAGGCTCTCACCAGGTCAATCTTGGAGAAGACGGAACAACCGAAAAGCTGGTGGGATTAGTCATGGATATGCTGGACGGGGTAGCGTTCGGGGATGGTCCGGGCGTTTAAAGCTCTGTAGTCGCCACAGTATGTATACTGTTAATTATATGATGGTTTTTCGTTACATTGCGATGAGGGATTGATTACATGTAATATGTTGTAGCGTGAGTCATGGTTTTCCTGTCTGATTGAATTTGGTGTATATGTTCTGTGCTGTAAGAATCTGGTGACGGAACTGGTCCACAAAAAGTTCTGCAGAGGCAACATTTATAACAAACTAGCTACAAAGAAATTCTGCACATTGGCTTCATATAATACCTTTGTGGCGACTGTATATGTAGCATACAGACACAAAAGAGCCCTAAATATCAGATTCATGTAAAACCTCTGCAGCAACTACGTATATAGCACACTGATCATACTTATGACAGGCATTACGAGATTCCTAGACAACAGTGTCTTCATTTCAGAAATTACATTTATAGCTTGCTGTTATGCTTGTGGTCTGGATTAAAAAATACTATTGCACACTTCAAAATATTTTACCAGTCTAATGGTAGTTGCATAACTAGTGGCTGATGGAAAGAAAATAAGTGAACCCAGAAAAAGGGTGTTTTGCATCATTTTGCTACTTTGAATCTTCTTTATGGTAACACTTCTAATACACTCAGAGCCGATATTGTAATCTTGACTACATTGATGTAAACCCCAAGAAGTTGAGAGCAACAGTAAGAATCCGTAATTAGGTGAGAAATGTTTTCCGCTTTTTGCAGTAGATTGTACAGTAGAACACCGATTATCTGAATTGCCAAGTAACCTAATCACCAAAGTGGCCTCCGTAGTCTAGGGGTAACGTTCCCACCTCATGACTCAAGGTATGCGGGTTCAAACCCGGCGGAGGTCGTGGAATTTTTAAGATCAGAAAAATTCAGGGAACAAGTCCTCCAGGAGGGACTTTAAGCCGTGGGTCCCATGTCGTAGCTTTACGGCACGTAAAAGAACCTCATGTCTCCAAAGGAGGCCACTGAGCAAAATTATGGACATTTCCCGCCCAACAGTAGTCTCTAACGCCTCTGGTAGATGGGGGAAGCATTAAAGATACTGCTCAGCTAGTAGAGGCCGATCTCGCTGGCTGGGCGGGACTGATGGTAAGCACCAGTACCGGTAGGATATAGAGACTGGTAGAATATCATAGAGGTAAGCACAATGGACCAAGACAGGTCTAAGTGCATGGGGAAACCCACCCTCTCCAATAACTAACTAACTAACCTAATCACCACTACCAAGGAATGCATATGCTAAACAAACATCATTGCTGGACTTTCTCAGATAAAATGTATGATAATATTAATTTATAATTATGTTTATTAATTTTTAATGTTTCACTTATTTCAAAAGTTTTTTTAGTTTTTGTTGTAATAGTGCAATATAACAGTGTCATGTTATATTTTAGTGTCCTGTTGCACTGATTTAAGTCCATGATTTATTCCACCGTCTTCTAGTGCATACACTTATCTACCTCACTCCTCTTTCTCGCACTTACATGTTTCGGCACAAAAGTGCCATCTTCAGGTGCTATTCGATTAACGTTAAACTAGTTCACTGCATGCCTTGTCATCTTCATATTAAAATAATTAAAATATATATTTATCATATATATTGATAAATATATATTGATAAATATTAACTATTAAAAATATTAAAATTGTTCAGGATTTTTCCTACGTCGTATCTCACTACTCGAGTCACATCTATCCTCTTCTGTCGGAGCACTCTTTCTATTTTCGTGTGTGTATTGTGCTTTATGTTGTGTCTTGCTCCTGTAACTGCGTTTGTTATACTCTTCCTTCTGTCTTTTCCACCAGTATCCTATACGCATTCCTAGTCTCCTCCCATTCGTCCTACATGCCCTGTGCACCTCATCCTTCTTGACATGACCATTATACAGTTTTTCCGAACGCCTCTCACTTTCTGCTGTGCGGACAGCGGCTCTCCGGCCTGAGGNCAGTGTCATATTAGTGTTTTTTCATGGATAAGAATTTAATTCAACTATCCAAATTTGTTATTATCTGAACCACCTTCATCACTAATTCAGATAGTCATCATTCTCTTATATATGTCTTTCTTTTGTGTAGATCCTATGTTGGTAAGGTGTAAGGTCAGAGGTGAACAGGAAACGTTCTAATCTAAAGTGTGCTCAGAATGTTGTTTGACTGGGAACTGCTAAGCATAGTTTTCATATGTGGTGTGGTTGTTCTGTTGCAGTTTTGATGAGCTTCATTATGGAAAGTACGTGAGTCTGTATATGAAAAGGACATTTTTCTTTGATTCTCATCCACCCTTTGGAAAACAACTAATAGCTGCTGTTGCATATTTAGCAGGTTTTGATGGTGAGAGCATTTTTTATTTTAAGTAGTTTCCATACTGCCAAAGTAAATTTCTACTATTAATCTCTTTACACAAATGCCAGAATTTTACTCTGACATAGTTGGAATTACAATCATAATGTACATATAGTCATGATCACAGTTTTTTGGATATATGTTGGAAGATCATCATTATTCTTCTAAATATGAGATCTGTTTTTCTTGTTATGAATATTACTGAACAACAGATTTCTTTGCATTTGGAGTCATATTCTGTGTTTATATTGTATAATTTCTTAGAGGATCAAGTCGGTGTTCATTCTTTCATTTTGTTCTTCCCAATCCAGTATATGTAATAATTTAATATTGAGGTCAGGATTCTATGGGTTTTCTGTTTCCTGCTGCAGATGGAATAGAGAAAAACCTCATATAATGAAATTCACTGCTTCCAGTATATGTGATAGCTGAGGCTGTTACATTGATATCGAAGTTGTTTTACAGTTCCTGGGTGCAGTTGAAGTTCTCAGTTTCAATTCTTTTTATTTCCCGAGTAAAATGTAATTTCTTCTGTCGTTTGTGTTTAAATGTTGTGATGAAAAAATTTTAATTTCATTACATGTAGGCCCTATACTTCAGTTTCTTCATATGTTTTTACTTAAAGAGTCTAATGAGAGCCACATTTGTGTGAACGAGATTTTGACCCCGTTATCCTCTTTAGTACAGGAAGCAGTTTAGGGGTGCCATATGGTTACATGAATTGTATATATTATCGCGTGTCGGGCGTATATCACGACAAATAACTTCACGCCGTATTTTGTATAGCGAATTTTATTTCACATTCGCACTTACAATCACCCAAATTACAGATTTACGGTTACTGCTATCTGCAGTATCACAATTAGTACACTCCAAATGCCAGAATACAACTGACTAGTTGCTGGCTAACTCGGCGGTAGCTCCAGGACTCACTGACTGACTCAGTACAACTGACTGTGAATAGCCTTCGCTGCTCCTTATGTAGCCTTGATCGGACAATACGGAAAACGGCCACGTAATAGGCACCCTTGTTGCCTGGCACTGTGTTGCTAGTAATGCTAGCGGTAGTAACCGCTGTTACTACCGTAACAATCCTGTTGCGTCACCGTTACGTTACCGTGCGGAGGAGGGGGAGGGGAGCGCTGACTCACCCGCCGCGTCACTGCTGGTGGGGGGGGTTCTCCTTTGCGCAACATGTCACACTGCTCCCTCCTTAAGGCTGTTCGTCCCGAATAGCCTAGCGGTGCATCCCCGTTCCTTTTCTGTCCCGTAGCTGTGCTTGCGGTGTCTCCTGTTGTTTCGGTTACTCTTCTTGCAGCGACTATTCTTCGTCCGTTACATCCGCTCCCCCCTTAAGACAAAGCTCGTCTCGACGAGCGGTTTCCTTTCAGCTCGCCAGAAGATCACATTCATCCATCGCTTTTTCACATGGCACATTCACTCTCAATGGGGAGGCCGGTTCTTCTATTTTACCGGCACCTCTTCTGTGCCCTGCTCCTTTTTTCGTTTTGGAGGGGGTCGACCCCTCCACAGTGTCCAATCCTTGCTGTGTCGTAGGCAGACAGAAAATCCGGCTACTCGCTTGGCGATCTGCAGTCCTGCAGTTTTTCTCATGTCTGCTTCCTTCACATATCGCGGCTGTCCGCCGCCTAGATCCTTCACTTCATTTCTGCGTTGTAGTTGCTGTCTCAGGCCTCGGTTCCTGATGCAAGTGTTGCGTTCCGGGCCTTTACACATTCTCTTCCCGAACGTCCGTTTCTTGGTGATTTCCGGTGCGACCTTATTCTTGATTTGTCCCATACGCCTGTGTCCTACACAGCGTGTGATCTTTATTCCGATGGCGGTCACTTCTTTCCGCTGGCATCCGAAGGTTCCCAGGGGAATTTCCTTCTTGAAGTCATTTCTCCAACGTCGTGCCACTGTCGCATGACAGGATGTATTCCTGCAGGGGGCAGGAATTAAAGATGAATTTCAGTTATGTTTTAAGGTTGACAGTATGGTATATCTATTTCTTGAGAAGCCTTTTTTCCATTTTCATAATTTGATATTGTCACTGATTTCTTGCCAAAAATTTGTGTGGGTGTATCAGTTAATTGTTATGCTGTGTATTACTGATTAAAGTGCCAAGTGCTTTGGCTGATGGTTATTGTGTTTTATAATAATGAAAATGTATGATAACATATATTCAGTTTAGTTCTAATTCCAAAAATAAGGATTTGTTAAATCATTTTTCATTTTTACTTACTTACTTACTCACTTACTCATGGAGCTGAGCCCTTCTTGAGGAGCTGCCAATTCTGCAGCTACTCAAGAATTTCCCAACATTTTATCAAACCTGAAGGTTTATTACCGTGTTGACAAGAGTCCTCCAGTGGTCCCTAACCTGAGCCAGATCAATCCAATCTATATCCCATCTTATCTCTCTAAGATCCATTTTAATATTGTTCACCCACCTACGCCTTGGTCTTTCCAATGGTCTCTTTCCTTCGGGCTTTTCCACCAATATCCTATATGTATTCCTCTTCTCCCCCATTCGTGCTGCATGCCCTGCCCACCTCATCCTCCTTGACTTGATCATTCTAATTAAACTTGTAGAAGAGGACAAGTTATGAAGCTCCTCATTATGTACTTTCCTCCAGCTTACTGTCACTTCATCTCTCTTGAGTCCAAATATTCTCCTCAACACCCTGTTCTCAAACACCCTCAGTTTATTTCCTCCCTTAGTGACAGAGACCAAGTTTCACACCCATACAGAATCACAGGCAAAATTATAATTTTGTATATTCTAATTTTTTTGGTTTTGGACAGCAGATGAGAAGACAAAAGGTTCTGGAACGAATGGTAGCAAGCATTACCCAAGTTCAGTCTCCTCTTAATTTCCTCTTGAATCAGATTTCAGTTTGTTATCATCATTCCAAAATATCTGAACTATGCCACATTTTCAAAACATGTGTTTCCTATCTTTATGTCATGAATTTACCCTGCATTTTCTTGACAAGACAGCAACATATACTTAGTTTTCTCTGTGTTTACTTCCGGACCAACCAACTTGCATCATTTAAAGTTTTTGTGTTTTTCTTTACGGTATCAAGAAGTGTTATTTAGAGTCAGTGAACAGAGGAATATCCTACACGAAATAAGAAAACGGAAGGCTAATTGGATTGGTCATATCTTACGCGGTAACTGCCTTCTAAAAGAAGTTATTGAAGGAAAGTTAGAGGGGCGGATAGAAGTGACCAGAAGACGAAGAAGATGTAAGAAGATGCTGGATGACCTTGGGGATGGAAGTGGATATTTTCATTCGAAGGAGAAAGCTCTAGATCGCATCAAGTGGAGGAACTGTTTTGGAAGAGACTGTGGACCTGTCGCCTTGACAGATTACAGATGAATGAATGAATCTATATTATCACCCAGTAGATTCACATCATCGTCATATACCTACAGCTGATGTGTCCCGTTTAATTTCAGTCTCACCTGGTTTCCCTGGACCTTTGTAATGGCATATTCTAAAGCAAAGTTGAAAAGGAGTGGCGATGAAGCATCTCCTTCTTTTAGACCATTCTGAATAGAAAATTTATCAGACAAATGTTTACCTATACGGACTTTACTATACATCTCATTTAAACACATTTTAATCAGCCTAACTAGTTTCATGGGTATCCCAAAGTCTATCATAATATTACACAGTGCATCCCTCCCAACTGACGCATAGGCTTTCTTGAAGTCTATGAATTTTTTATATACTGTCTCATTGTACTCCCATTTTTTCTCCAATATCTGACGAATGCAAAAGATCTGATCTGTAGTTGATCTGTTACATCGAAATCCACACTGATGATCCCCAGTAATTTCATCTATATATGGAATTAACCTTGAGAGAAGAATATTGGATAAAATTTTGTATGAAGTTAGTAGCAGTGATATTCCTTCTGTAATTACTACAGTCAGTTTTATCACCCTTCTTGTGAACTGGTAACAGTAATAGACTCCTTCCATTGATCAGGCAATTTTTCCTTATGCCACATAGAAGTAATTAGCTTATGGATATTAGAACGTAATATTTCATTCCCTCCTTGAATAAGTTCTGTCAGAATTTGATCACTACCTGGCGATTTATACCTTTTCAATTTTGCAATAGGAATTACAATCTCAAAAGGGCTAGGATCAGGTACTAACAGCTCAGCTGTATGTATTTCTGTCTGCCTAATTTCACTGGCCCAATGTACATTCAATAACTGAGAGAAGTAATTCTTCCACCTATTCAAAATGTTGGAATCTGCAAGCATTTTTACTACAGAAACAAATGTATGATGACTAGATATTAATTAACAATGAGTACAATATATGAGTGTTATCTCTTCAGTAAAGTTTTGACTGCTATATATTGTGATCGTAGTGAGGAAAGCGGTCATATCTTAGAAAAAGGAATGACTTGTTTCAGTTTCATATACAGCCCTGTGTATAATTTTGTCACTATCTCTTTGCTTCTTTTGCTGCCAAAAAGTATATAATCTGCTGTCTCATGAAACACACTTTGGTGTGTGAGTGCACTTTTCTTAAATGTGACATTGCTTTCCTTGGTAAAATGTCTTGCATGTTTTAAAGCTGAAGTTCCAATGGAGTGTTAACTTCCTCTCCATCTCATTAAAAATGCTATATGTGTTGCTGTCAGCTGATACTTTTCTGGGTATGTATAAATTTTAAAGAGGCATGTGCAAGAATTATATTCTCAGTTAAAAACAAGGTTGAGAAAAGAATTTTGAAAAATATTTTGAACTGAGGTAAGATTAAGAAATTTCTGTATTGGCCCTCTTCTTTTTTAATTATAATCACAATTTGTGACACTAGCCACTTCATCGCATTGCTCTAAAGTGTACTTCATATCCATTTATATGTCAGATGACACTGCATACAGGAACTATATAGATACACTGTGTGCTGAAGTTGTTACTGAAAGTTTGAGACTTGTACATGCCTAATTTTCACTATATTTTCCTATATTTTACAAGGTTAGACAGTGTATGTCCCTTTTAATTTTGCTATATTACAAGGAGGAAAGGGTTAAGATATGTACAGAAAGGGATGCAATCTAAAACCAAAATATTAGACATGATCTGAAAATAGAAATGACACAAGGAAAGTGTATTAAATATAGGATACAGTGGTATGGATACGAGTTATGTGTGGACAACAGTAAATTCCTTCGAGAAGGAGATATAACAAACAGAAAACGGAGATGAAAAAAGATGTTTGAAAGATGATAGGAAAAGAATAGATATAGATATTGTGGGTCTAAAACATCTTTGAGGCTATGTCATCATCAGATAGTGATACAGACTCTTAGGTCATCATTAGAAAGTTACTACAAGATTACATTTTCTACATACAATAGGAAACAAAATCCTATTAGACATACAGATGTTTTCCTCTGTAAAAATGCCTGTTCAAAGTATGATATATCCTCAAAGATGTTTTAGATGGATTACTCAAAAGCACTTGTGAGAGGACAGAGGAAAATGGAGAAGGCTTTGCTATAGGTTAACATATCCTGGTGGAAACTTCACTGGATGATTGTACTTGTATGTGTGTGTGTGTTGCTCCTAACAGTAAGAGGCATGTTTGAATCAGGTTCAGCATTCAGTTAATATATCTTAAAATTACAGTATTATTCTTCCCTATCTATGTTATATTTTTTCTAAGTAATTGTCTGGATTTTATTTCTGTTTTCAGAAAAGGTTTGCCTGTGACATGTTGTAAAACAGCATTGAGATGATTGATGGTAGTAAAATTCCCCGCGATCTTTATTCCAGGACAGTTCAAATTTGACCGTATTGGCAGTTCTTACTCAGAAACTGTTCCTTTATTTGCACTGCGACTTGTGCCAGCAGTGTGTGGAAGCTTGATTATTCCCACCACATACCACCTCATGTTGGAGCTTGGCCTCACACAATGGACTGCAGCTCTGGCAGGATTCCTGTTACTTTGTGGTATGTACATAAATGCAACATTGGACCAGGATAGATAATATCTCATCATTATGGTGACTGGTTTCATTACGCAGCCTGGGATGTTTATCTCAAGGCTATAAACCTTAAATAGAACTCATGTTTAGTGTGAGATTGGTGAGAAATAGACAATGTTAGGTGGGTCCCTTGTCACCAGAGTATGGCGCATCCTGAGGTTGCAGTTGGAGGGTAGCTGTGAATATATTGAATAAGCAGTCACAAACAGCTGACAAGGGGTGGTTCTCCAGTTTGCGAGTTGGGCATGGGGCTAACAACTCCTCAGCATAAAAAATAAGCTTGTTGCAAAAGATCACAAGAAGCCTTGGATCTGGATGGATTCTTTCGATAAACAACTGAATCAAAAGGAAATGGATATGAGAACTGGTGCTTGGAATGTTAGAAATATTTATAGGGAAGACTCACTGAGGGCAGTGACGGAAGAAATATCAAAATATAAGTTAGATTTATTAGGAGTACAGGAGGTCAGTCAGGACAAAAATGATACCGAACCAGTAGGCAAATATGCATTTTTCTGTGGGAAAGGGAGTGAAAATCATGAATTAGGTGTAGGTTTTTTCATACATAAAATAATTTCAGCAATTAAGAGGTTAGAGTTTGTTGCTGGTAGGATGTAGTACATAATATTAAGAGGTCGTTGGTGTGATATCATTGTTCTGAATGCTCATGCTCCAACAGTGGATAAAATTGATGACATGAAGGACAGGTTCTATGAAGAACTGAAACATGTATTCAATAAATTCTCTAAAACCACATGAAAATTTTGTTCAGCGATTTCATTGCCAAAGTCGGTAGGGAAGACATTTTCAAACCAAAATTGGGAATGAGAATTTGCACGAAATTTGTAATGATAATGTAGTTAGATAGTAAACTTTGCTACATCCAAAAATCTTATTTGTCAAAAGTATGACGTTCCCACATCGTAACGTTCGTAAATTCACTTGGACATCTCATGATGGAAAGATGCACAGCCAAATTGACCATATTTTGATAGATAGGAAATGGCATTCAAATATACTTCATGTTCAGTTGTTCAGGGCATCAAATTATGATACTGACCACTATATGATGGTGACACAAGTTAGGGAGAGACTGGCAGTGAGTGAAGAAACAATGCACAGAGTTCATATGGAGAGGTTCAATCTCAAGAGAGACTGGCAGCGAGTAAACAAACAATGCACAGAGTTCATATGGGGAGGTTCAATCTCAAGAAATTAAATGAGGTAGAGGGTAAAGAGCAGGATAATATTGAAATCTCAAATAAGTTTGCAGCTTCGGAAAACTTAGACACTGAGGTGGATATTAACAGAGCTTGGAAAAGCAGTTGTTGCAGGATCCAAGCGAAATAAATGGAGATAATCTGAACAATCAAAGACATGAAACCAGCAGGCATTTCAGGAACAAAATGAGGGAATATCTGAAAGACAAAATTGATGAGCTTGCAATGAACAGTAAGAACAAGAACATTAGAGACCTGTATAGAGGAATAAATGACTTTAAGAGGAGTTATCAACCTAGAAGTTACTTAGTGAAGGAAGAGAATGGTGATCTGCTTGCAGATTTACACAACATTTTAAATCAGTGGAAGGACTACTTATCTCAGTTGTTGGCTGTATATAGGCTCAGTGCTGTTAGTCAGATGGAAATACATACATCTGAGCTGTTATTACCTGATACTAGCCCTTTTGAGGTTGAAATTGTTATTGCAAAGTTGAAAAGATATAAATCGCCAGGTAGTGATCAAATTCCGGCAGAGCTGATTCAAGCAGGAGGTGAAATGCTACGATCTTAGATCCATAAGCCAATTAATTCTACATATGTAAGTCAACCAGTATGTTACAAATGGATATAGAACTTAAATAAGAGTACTGATTTGAAAAATGCTTTTATTTCTCAACATAATCTCCCTGTACATTGAGGCACTTGTCCCATCATTTCCCAAGCCCCTGAAAACCAGCAGCATAAAATTCTTTGGGCTGCTTTTGGAACCAGGCGGTGACTTCCATTTACAGAGAACATCCTCAGGAAACTTCATCAGACCATTCAACGGAAGCGACCAGGACTCCTCACCAAAGGCGTGTTGCTCTTGCATGAGAATGCACATCCCCATACTGCCAACAAGACAATGAGACGCTGCGAAATTTCAAGTTGGAAGTCCTCAAGCATCTTCCGTATAGCCCTAACCTTGCTCCAGGCGACTTCCATTTGTTCGGCCCTCTTAGACATCACCTTTCAGCTGAACAGTTTCCCGACGATGAAGCTGTAGAAAGGGAAGTCACCGCCTGGTTCCGACAGCATCCCAAAGAATTTTATGCTACTGGTTTTCAGGGGCTTGTGAAACGATGGGACAAGTGCCTCAATGTACAGGGCGTTTATGTTGAGAAATAAAAGCATTTTTCAAATCATTTTAAGTTCTATAACCATTTGTAACTTACTTATTGACTTAGCGCCCTCTGTAGTCTATAGGTAAAGTTCCCGCCTCATGACTCATAGTACGCGGGTTCAAATACCCGGCGGAGGTCGTTAAATTTTTAAGGGCGGAAAAATTCAGGGAATAAGTCCTCCGGGAGGGACTTTAAGCCGTGGGTCCCGTGTCGTAGCTTTACGGCACGTAAAAGAACCTCATATCTCCAAAGGAGGTCACTGAGCCAAATTATGGAAGTTTCCCGCCCAACAGCAGTCTCTAATACCTCTGGTAGATGGGGGAAGCATTATAGATACCTCTCAGCTAGTAGAGCCGGTCTCGCTGGCTGGGCGGGACTGATGGTAAGCACCAGTACTGGTAGGATATAGAGACTGGTAGAAATCATAGAGGGAAGCACAATGGACCAATACAGGTCTAAGTGCATGGGGAAACCCACCCTCTCCAACAACTAACTAACTACTTATTGACTTACCCTCATGTTTGGAATAAGGAAGAATTGCATATTAAGTTGAAGGAGTCAATTACTGTACCAATTTACAAGAATGGCAATAAAACTGACTGTAGTAATTATCATGGTATATCACTGCTATCAAATTCATACAAAATTTTGTCTAATATTCTTCTCTTGCTGTCAAGTCCATATATAGATAATTTTATTGGTGATCATCAGCATTGGTTTTGACATAATAGATCAACTACTGATATGATCTTTTACATTGGTCAGATGCTGGAGAAAAAATGGGAGTACAATGAGACAGTACATCAGCTATTCATAGACTTCAAGAAAGCCTATGATTCGGTTAGGAGAGAAGTATTGTACGATATTATATAGTTTGGGGGTACCCATGAAAGTAGTTAGACTGATTAAAATATGTTTAAATGAAATGTATAGGAAAGTCTGATAGGTAAACATTTTTCTGATAATTATCCCATCTTGAATGGTCTAAAACAAGTAGATGGTTTAATGCCACTGCTTTTGAACTTTGCTTTAAGAAAATGCCATTAAGGAGGTCCAGGAAAACCAAGTAGGACTGAAATGAAATTGAGACACATCATCTGCTTGTTTATGCTGATGATGTGGGTCTACTGGGAGATAACACAGATGCCATAAATTAAAATAGTGAAACATTAATTTACAGTCTAGAAGTAAACACAGAGAAAACTAAGGAAATGTTTCTGTCTCATCACCAGAAAGCAGGGCCAAATCATGCCATAAAAATAGCTAACAGATCCTCTGCACATGTGGTACAGTTCAGGTATTTGGGAATGACTGAATCAGATCAAGACCTGATTCAGGAGGAAGTTAGGAGGAGATTGAACTTGGGTAATGCTTCCTACCATTCAGTCCAGAACCTTTCATCTTCTCACCTGCTGTCTGAAAACATAAATATTCAAGTATACCAAACTATAATTTTGTCTGTGGTTCTGTATGGGTGTGAAACTTTGGTTTCTGACATTAAGGGAGGAACATAGACTTAGGATGTTGGAGGACAATGTGCTGAGGAGAATATTTGGACCGAAGAATGATGAAGTGATGGGAAGTTGGATAAAACTATATGAGGAGCTCCATAACTTATGCTCTTCGCAAAGTATAATTAAAATTATTAATTCAAGGAGGATGAGTTGGGCAGGGCATGTAGCATGAATGGGGGAGAGGAAGAATGCATGTAGGATATTGGTGGAAAGGCCACAAGGAAAGAGACCACTAGGAAGACCAAGATATAGGTAGGTGGGCAGTATTAAAGTGGATCTTAGTGTGGTAGGTTGGTTTGGTATTGACTGGATTTATGTGGCTCAGGATGGGGATCGTTGGAGGACTCTTGTAAACACAATAATAAACCTTTAGCTCCATAAAATGGTAGGAAGTTATTGAGTAGCTGCACATTGGCAGTTTCACAAGAAGGGCTCAGCTCCATAAATGAGTGATTTGGTGAGAAGATAAGTTGATAATATTTCTCAAACTTTTTAGGCTGTAAAACTTCATTGTTCATGTGTGTGCATGTAGGGTAAATACTTCTAGTTGTGGTCTTGGTGACTTTCTCATTTCACTTTTCAACAAATACATATTGTTACATGATACCTGAAAGGCAAAACAGTGGAATTGTTCCCAGGCAACACCTTGTGAAGACAGCAAACTTAGAAGACTTAGTGCATGCTGTAGCAAGTTGTAAAGAGTGTGAATTAGCCATAGCACAATAGTTGCTTGCCGTTGTGGCCCATAAGAGTCCAATAAATCCAGGTAACCAATCTAAACCCCATGTCTGGTCACATTACATGTGACAGCTGGTATCAAAAGTGGGATAACTGGATAATATGATTGATCATACTGGAACCAGTGTGATAGATTACCTTCACTGTTTGCATCCTTTTGTGTATCATGATTACTGATATTTGTCTGTCAAAACAACAATTAAAATAAACCAGTCAAACTGCTCACTTTGGTTTTATTTGATAGTTGCTACATGTTTCAGTCCACCTTTGTGACTATGTTCAGGCAGTCTCATCAAATACATCTCTTATTATTGAACTGTCCTAATAT